TTAGAGAACACATAAGTCTCCACAGGTCTCTCTGGCTACTTCTGCAATATCTATTACTTGTCTTCAGTTTCAAGGCCCATCCTTGCTTCTCACCATCACACCTATTGCTCCTGAATCACTGTCAGGAAGACAGCTGTGGTTTGCTCCCATTTGAAGCTGGGACAATTTTCATGAAACATAAAGCTTAAAAGACCATTAGATCATACCATCTAATTTGATTATTATTTTGTGTTTGGCTAAAACATTTTCAAAACCCTCCACTTTTTACTGGTAAAAAAATAAAACTCAGAGATGCTTCTTACATCAGGAGTCCAGTTTCCAGCTCCTCTCTCACCCACACGTTGTATTTTCACACAAATTTCTTGTGCCTTTTTCTGTTTTATACCTTACACTTTATGGTAACTCCCTTAAATATTTGGAAACACATTGCATTGGTGTTGTTCAAAGCTTTCTCTGAAATTCAGCTTACTAACATGACCCTACAGCCCCTATGAGCAAAACGTGTGATAAGCAGTTATACACATATCACGTATTTTTAAGTGTCTAAAGTAATCAAGAGTGAGATGTAGGAGATGTATCCTACTATACAGTAAGTGGAGAGGCTCCTGTTGAGAGTGATTTGGTTGAAAGAACTCCTGAAACATTCCAAACTGTTCCCTGAAGGAGTCTCTGTATAAGCTATGGAAATAGCCTAGGCAGATCAGTCTTTTGATTTAGGTATCTGAGTTGGATCTCTAAAGTATGAATGTTCCCCCTAACTACTAGCATTTCCCTTCTCATCTATATTTTATATATTTTATTATTATATTTATTAGTGTATATTTTCTATTTTCAACTGTATTATATTTACATTGCCAGCACTTAAAACTGCAGATAATCTTTTCAGCCTTTGTCTGTGTGGTGCCTAAAATCATAGGAACTAATAATTTACAATTACACAAACCAATATTTTATTAAACAGTACCTGATCATATAATTATCACAAAATTACACACACACATACCTGGTAGATGATGCAGAGCTATGTGCATCAACTTCAACTTTGGTATTTCCTAAATTCCTCAATCCTATAACAAAGAGCCGGATTGTGTTCATGGCTGGCACCAGCTATTTTCTCCCCAGTGTGAATCATGGGCAAATCTTCAAGACAATTCCACACAGCAAATGAAGAGAAGGGAGAATCAGAGCAATGGGAAGGTATAGGGGGATCCAGGACACATACAGAATTTTTGGCAGAAAAAGCAGAGTGCAGGAAACAAACTATGGAAACCCTTGTCACGTGTATGACAGATGTCATAAGCTATTTTCTGAAATAATTGATGAGAAACTGGTAAAATGTAGGGCTGCTAAAAGCAAAAGTAAGAAATGGAAGGAATCCCTTCATATATGTGAAGAGTTCATGCTCCACAACGTACGCTTCTCCCTGTTAAACTTACTTAACTTGAAATCTACCCTATTAAAAAAGAGATTTCAGTAATATAAAAAGGTCCCTAAAGCCCAAAATTACGAAGAAAAACCCACTGACATACCTTACATGCTAAGAAATTCTCAGGGTCTTCAAAAACATGCTTATTGCTGGGAAAAGGATAATAAAGCATTATGAAAAAACAAGAAATCAGTTGAATAATCAAATAGGAGTCCCACACAAATTTAGAAATCTTATCCTAACACAAACAATAAGCAAAAGCCATACTAGGCATCATGTAAAAAAGAAACAGAATAGAACAACTACTACTGATGATAACCTAGTTCTTGCTCCAGATCTAATGATCTAGATAACAGAAAAGTTCTTTCAAAGCCTGAAGTAGTAGAAGAATGCATCCTGAAGCAAGCAAACAAAAAAATTAGGACACATGCAATCATAGATCAAAACCTGACCAAAATCTAAACAGGGCAAAATATTGGATTAAATGATTGATTTCATTATAATAGATTTCTTTAATAGCAAATAGTTAACTACAAAGTGTATTAAAAAAATGTGTTTGGTCCTATGTTATGGTACAGTGGTAGGATTGTCCCTGTTTAATGGAAGTTGTTCATTAGGTCAGTTATGCCATAGTGAGAAAGTACACCAGTTGCTTTGGCCTCAGGAAGGAACCAGGGCCCACTTCAGCAGTTTAGTGAAAGTCTCTGCTCAACACCACACTACAGTCAAAATAAGAATAATAAAACAGGCAGCTTAAACAATGGAAGAGAATTAGAAGAAAGCCAGCGTAATAGGATTATAAAAATCAATGCTCTGACCTTACCAGAAAAAGAAAATCCCGTATGAGGTACAGGTCACCCCTTCTCCAAAAGGGTACTAAAAAACTGGATAGGGTTCAAATGTGGACAATAATAAACATGGAAAATTCCTAGGAAGACAAATTAGGAAGTTTAAAATCTAGAGTCTTATGTATGGACACGTAAAATAATAATTGCTGTAAAGAGGTCAGATTAGACATTTCTATGCTTGCTATCTTACAACACAAGAAAACAACACAAAGAAACATCCAAAGTATGGAAAATTCAAAACTGTAAGAAGAAATGTTTTTTCACATCATCTGTACCATTCATAATGATTGTCAAGGAAATTCAGTTATTAATCTAAATACAATGTCGCTATCGATGATAGTATATATCAAACCAGTTACTGCATAAAGAAATCAGGAAGCAACTTATTTGGAGTTTATGTCAACTGAAGCATTAGGATGTATTTACTAGTGAAACAGGAAACTGTATTATAGTTTAAACAAATATAGTAATCCCTGTATAAAAATATCAAAGAAAAAGAATAGCAACGTGATTTCATTATTAAAATTTTATTCACATTACAGTAATGTTTCCCACAGTTTGCATTAAATGCTATAATAGCTCGTTAACAACAGTATAGTCATAACTAGAAGATTTTGAAACAACTGAAGTTTGGACACATTAAGCTTTTATATAAGCAATAAAGGCAAATACATGAAAAAATGAAAAACAGCACGACTATAAACTCATTTTCTCCTTCACTGCAGGTTCTACCTAAAATGCAATTTTCCCTGATTTACGATCACAGCCAGCTTCTTAGAAGTTTGTCTATTCTTCAAAGACATGACACTGAAGTTTTCCATTTACCACTTTTTTAAAGAATTATTTTAACAAGCATTCTCATTACAGATCTTGCTAACAAGCGCCCAAAACGTGACTACTTACTGATCACCCACTAACAAGGTAGCTAGAATTAGCTTAAGCACTAAATCCTTAGTATGCCACCACTCTATTGCCTGGTTATCTTGATTAGATCATCCTGGTTTAGTTTGAAACGCATATTGTCACTGCACATACTAAAATCCACACTGCCCTGTTGTATTAGTCATTACAAAAACATACAGAAAATTATAATTTTTTCTCAAAGAGCAGTGAGTCCTAATTTTACTAGGATAGGCATGGTAAAAACGAAAGAGAGTGTAAGGATCTGGCTTCATAAATTTTATTTGATTTTTCCCATTGTATCTGAGAAGGTGAAGAGAATATTATATTTTCTGAAGGTGGTGGAACAGGAGAGGCTGCCAGCAATGTCAACGGGAGGTTGGCACTTCCTGGGGCTAGGGCAGGTAAACAGGGCAGAAGTAAATGGCTAAAGCATCACGCAGTACAGTAGAAGGTATAAATGAAGACTCAAAACATCAATAATATAGAGAATACAGAACCAGAAAGACTGCCTGGGAACTCTCTTGGACAGAGAGTATACAGCTTGTACTAGGACACAAGAAACTGAGAAATTTAAAGAGCTACATGAACTTCACATGGTGATACTCAAATGTAGACATGGGTACTGGTTCTGGCAGAGAAGGAAATTTCAGTCAATGAGCAGTTATGAATCTAAGAAGACCTTGCTGCCTGTAATGACAGAAAAACTGCCTGAAATAAAAGCAAGCTAACAGGTTGCACAAAGGCAACATAAAATTTCTGAACCCAAAAGGCAACATACCTTTCCATCTATGTTCTGAACGCAGCAGGTCATTCACCACCAGGATATTGGAACATAAAATTATTCTCCTTGTGTAACTTACTCTGTTTTGCTGTTTTCACAGACTGCATATTTGAGTGAATGAACTGTTACGTGGCAGATTTCCCTTTCAGTTGCATAGCTTTTGCCCGCGATCATTTTAATAACACGCTTTCTAAAATAAAAGGCACATTTTCTTTTCTAAAGATATTATATGCTTGATAGGACATTTTGAATGCACATAACTTGAAATATACTTCACTGTACGTTTACCTGCAAAGTTGCCCCATGCTTTTTTTTTCCCATTTTAAGTGAACAGTGGGTAATAGCAATAAACTAAATTCATGGGGGAGAAGGTGTAAACTAACTTCATTTAGGTGTGAAGGAATTTCTTGTTAAGGGCATTTCTTTGTTCACACCAACAGTATCAAAGCTATTTATTTGGTAATAAAAGTTTCTGGACTGAAACAGACATTTCTGAAGTTGTTGATGATTAATGTACAGTTTAACAGAGCCATTACTTTGTGACAGGCACTATAGAAGCCAAGTGTCAGATAATCTATCAGCTTCTGCTCCACTTTAATTCAATGGTCAGAACTCTTATTTTTAACGTCTTGTTTTAAATATTATACTGTAAAGAGTTCAGCAGGAGACGTAGTAGTTGGAGTGAAAGTAGAATACCTGCCTCGTAGCGTTAATATCATGTGGGCATTAAATGGGACGTATTTTAATATTAGCCAAGGCACGTTTCTGAACACGAACACTTGCCACAATCCACTGTACAACCACTAAAGGACGATTTAAGTTTATGCTACATACGCGCGGAAGAAGAGTGACACGAAGCCAGCGTGGAGCGGGCGCGACGCCCGCCCCAGGCACCAGCTGGGGCGGCGGGCAAAGGTCCCTCGGCCGCGGTCCGGCCCGGGCCCGGCCGGTTGCGGGCGGCTGCTGCTCCCCGGGGCCGCCGGGAGGGAAGGAGGGAGGGAAGAGGGAGGGAGGAAGAAGCCGCCGGGTCCTAATGCCGCCGAGCTCGGGCAGGAGCCTCCCGCCCGCTGCTGCCGCGGCCCTGGCGGGCCGGAGGCACCGAAGCGACGCCCTGACCATCCCCAGGGAGAGTTCTCTGGCCGCGCTGGCTCGATCAGTGATCTCATGGAGAAACCCCTGAACGTGCAAAACCTCCATGTGCTCGGAGGCTGGCAGAGCTGAGCACAGCCACGGGTGAAAACAGCACCCCAGGAGAAAAGCATTGAAGGATTCGACAGAAAAAGGAAGAGGTACCGGCAGCCCCTGACATCGACGCACCTCTGTGCTTGTAAGAAATCCTGATTTTGTTCCTCAAAACTCAGCGCCTAAACTTTGCCTTGGAGCTGCTCATCTTCATCACACAGTACAGGAACAGAAAAAAACGCTCTGAAACAGGTAGGAAAATGAGAGAGCAGGACTAAAACTGCACATGCTGTAGCAGACACAAGCAAGATTCCAGGATCTCCCTAGTGAACCAAGAAAGGCTCTTGACAAGCCAAAGATTCAGAACAGAGAAGACTGCAAGAAGTACAGTCTGCTGAGGCAGCTTTTACACTTGTGCATGTGGAATGTACTGGTATGTCTGCTTTCTGCCTTGCTCTTGCTACTTAGGTTTATTACAAGCAAATACAGCTATATAAGAGGCAGAGATACCACCCTCTGCACCCACAGTCCATCCTCTCAAACACATCAGCCTGGCCAGAGCAGTAATTTCTGACGTATTTTCACTTTGCTACCTCCTTCCTCTCCTTGCCTATACTTCGACATCACTTGAAGATTAAACAGTAGGATTGTTACATCTTTATACATTTTGTACCATTTTAGTGAGACACTTAAGTGACCTGAGATGACTTGATCTTGAATGCTAGAATTAGAAACAGGATTGAAATGGTTACTTTTATTACCTTCCAGTGCTTCCTGTGGAAATTGTGATCAATTTTGTTAATAGTTGTGTATAGTTTTTATTAATGTGCCTACAGTCTTAAAGCCTAAACCTGACAAGGGATGGGACAGAAAAGCTCCACATCAGTGAAAATAGTTAGGTGAGCAATCACAACCTCCTCCTGAAAATTAACAGGGACATAAACAGAAAAAGTCGCACCCAATGTACAGCCATGAGTAGTGTTAAGTGAAAAATTTATATTAAAGAGTGGTCTTCCCATGAATGTATCTGTTCACTGTGGCATAAACTCCTCCACTACATACCATGTATAGTAGAACAAGACCATTCTTTAAAAGCCAGAATACCCGACTTGTGATATGTTGTATCTATCCTGTCACAGCAATGTCTTACTCTTATCAAAACTATGGCTCTGTCACACAGAGAACAAAAATTCTGCAGCCATGCACATATTTTCAATATATGAATCAATTCAAGCTTAGAGTTAATATCATATGACACATGAAAAACCCCCAACTGTCCTAATGATTCAAAACAATATCAGAAAAATTTTACTTCATGTACTTTTCAAAACTTTTCCTCTCATCTCACTGCTGTGAGTGTGCATCTCTTTCCCTATTACAGATACTAAAGAACCTTCTTGCAACATTCTGGTGTGAAGCTTCTGTGATGTAAGTGATAATTTATCTGATGTTATCGATAGGTAAATCTGGTTTGTCTTTCACATAATTATAGAACAATGAAAAATTAAATTGGTAAGAAAGCCAAAATTCAAGGAGAGCTAAGATAACCATGGGGCAAATGGTTCAATCTAATACTAATTAGTGTTTTTACAATGTGGAGAGCACTAGATCTGTGCTATCGACTTCCCAAATAGAACAATTTCTGAATCTGTCTAAATACTTTAAAAATACACAGGTGGCAGTGCAAATCAGCTACTTCTGTAGTCTCTCATCAAATAGTTCAGAAATGAATACACTGAAATTGTGCCACTTTATTAAAAAAAAATAAAAATCACTATTTTTCAGTTCCACTTTATGCTCACATGACAGATGTAGCTTACAAACTCAGCAAGTTGTGTGAAAAAGAGCAATCAGACATGGTAAAGCACAGCTTTTTGAAAGAATGTATATTGAGTAATTGCTAGTACACATGTCCAAAGTGCACAAAACTTCTCAAGGATTCAAATGGACATAAGAGCATCTTCCACATTTTTATGTGTGATGGCATCAAGTTTCACTGTGGGCTGCAATAGTGAGGGCATGCCTTGAGGCTGGCATATTCATTTAACATATGAGTCATTCAGTGTGGAAACAACATAAATATCCACAAACTAATGAATTGTGAAAGAACTATAACATTTTCCCCCTCAGGCATGCACCAACTAAAGTGTCACAAATTAAGTCAATATCACAGAAATGATTCAGCAAAAGAGAAATTAAGCAGTAAATGGCAGTCAACTCTTTTACAAGTCAATCACTTAACTGTTTTTATTTGAAAGAATACCAGTCAGAAGTCATCTAAGAAAAGATCAACAGAAAAAGACACTCCAGACTTGACTTTATAAATACTGCAATTAAGGTAAGATACCTCTATGACATGGAAGTTGCAACCTAGGTTTTTCTCTTCATTGATATCATCCTTCAGAATTTGAGGGATTTAAAATTAAGAAGATATAATTCCCTTTTCCCCCCCTAGATGTTGGTTTAAAATGTAGAAAGATAAAATAACTAACCAAACACTTGCCGTGCAATGAATCTGAATGAAAGATTAGCCTGGCAAAAAAAAAAAAAAGAAAAAAAATTGTAAGCAGCCTAACTTCCTCATCCCAAGTTACTATATTAGCATAAAGAATTACAACAGTTTAAAAACCACTTATAAATACATAGAAACAGGTATCTAAGCTTATATTCATATATCTAACATGCATATTTGTAGAGCGCAGCTAAAGGAACCTAGTATGCCCTAAAATTACAGTTGCTGATTTGTGTTTTGCATTTTGGCACCAGAATGAATAAACAGCACTTTGAGGGCCAGATTTTATCTCCCTCCCACCTAGAAAGTAAAAATGAAAAGCTGAGAGTTACAGAAAGGGATATTAAATAGAAGTCACTATTAGTCACCTTCCATACCCATCTAATTTCAAATAAGGAGACTGCTTACACTGATCTTTTCGGGTCTAACTTACACACTTATATCAGACCTTTGGAGTCCGGCACAGACCTCTTAGAAGCTCACCCACCAGGCATTCCCTGTACTTCCTCTCCCAGTATCTTAGTGAGGATACTTTGTTTCAATTAACACTGCCTTAGGCACCTGTTATGATGCATGTCCACACTGTGCAACTGAGCACAGCGCGGCTGGACTCTGTCAGCTTAGCTGGTACTCTGCCCCCCCGAGGATACACTACTGTTTTCCTGCTCTCATCCTGTGCCCATGGGAAGTATCCATGTTGGCACAAGGATGCATCTGAGCTCCTTATCCTTGCCTCTGAACAGGGCTAAGGCCTCTGACAGGCACGCACTGGACCAAATGCTGTTACCAGTCTCAGACATTAACCACCACCCCTCTGACCAACACACTCTATCCGATTAATGCCTAATCTGCTTGTGAATCAACTCCTGAGCCACCATAGCTTTCTGCATGGCATGAGAAAATTAAAGAGTTCTTAAAGTTTGTCAAAACCCCAGTGTCACTGGCAGTAGCACTGCTGGAACAGCTATATCAGCTATGAAACTAGTTCATCAGAAGAGCACTCAGCGCCTGTGCTGCTCATTGCTACATACCATATACATATCCAGCACCCCGAAATACCCTTACAAAGAAGCTTTAAGAACTGCCAGCTGCTACCAGATCAATTCCACTGCAATATCAACCACCAGTGGGATTCAAAGAGTAGGAAGAAAAAGAGGCATAAATTCTTTGTGGATTTCAACAAGTCAATATATACACAGGTATGAATATACTTGGCTCTGGTGAAAACAAGAATTTTTCTGTAAAGAATTGTTTGGCTAAGTTATTTCAAATACTAAATTAAAAGGAATCACTTCTACTATAGTACAGTTACAGTAGCACTTTCACTGGTGTTTTTATTTGCATTTTCTGATTGTGTACATTATTTAAACACTGTGAAACTTCCAATGAAGTAGTATCAGTATAGTAATTTAGCATGCTACCATTATATGTTTTTTAACCTATATGAGGATTAAAAGTTTCCAGCTATGATTAGTTTGTCAATAATTACGTGTTTCATATCTCCTGCAAAATTGGATGCAATGCCTGTTAGAACAGTTACATGTGTAGTGGTGAAATATGCCACCAGGGGTTAGTTATAACATACTCTGAGTGAAAAAAGAAAAAGCTGGGTTTTTTAAAATAACAGTTCAAAAATATTCAGTTCCAAATATTCAGAGAAACAGGCTCACAAACAGTGAGCCATAAATGGCCACTAACTGCCTCTCTAAAATAACTTACTTTTCTAAAAAGATACTTTCACTGTTTTTATATGCAAGAAGTCACTGCTAAGTAAAGTTGTTGTACGCTGCTTCAGAATTTAAAATACTGCATGATATCGAGCAATCCTTCTACTTTTCACATTTTAGAACAAAAATTCATCACACAAATCTTTAGAGAGATACACAAACACATTTTACTGAGAATTATCGAGTAGTGTTTAATAAATTACACGCAAATTCTTACCAGAATGCCACTGCTTTTGAAGATGCCGTGTCCATTGTTATCCTTAAGATATCCATTCATATTCATCATTAGCACCCTTCTTGCTTCGCACTCTAGCTTTGGAACGGATTTCTGACAAGCAACCCACACCTACCAAAATGGTTTCTAGAAAGCAAATTATATAGCTGTAAGACATGCAAAACCAAACAGCAATTTGCAAACCACTGCAAGTGCAATGCAAACATAGTCAATATAAAATTAATTCTGAAATGTTCATCATATTATGCTGGGCACTAACATAACCACAGTTGTAACATTATACTTTTATATCACCAGTTCACCTATAGAAAAACTGCAAGAGCAAAATTCCTTTTACCCCATGAAATCTCATATACCTCATCTCATTAAGGGTGGTCATTTGCCCATAAATTATTTTAATAAAAGAGCAGAATAAAGGAACATTATTCTTAATCGTTGTTAAGGTCCTCTAAGGACTAATGAAAATTGAAGTTTCATTATGCTGGATAGTGTATATACACAGAACAGCAAAAGGTCCCTGAGCATATTAAAAACAACAGTCCAAACAGGGGGAAAAGTTCACACAGAGCACAAACAGCAGCACCATAGTAAATGTAACAATAGTTCTCCTTTTTCGGTGGCTTTTGCTTGCAAACAAAATAGGAGATACAGGGTAAGGTGGGCAGATCGGGTGAGGGGAAGCATACATAGTAAGCAGGAATGAACCAGAAGTAAAGAGGTAGAATGGACAGCAAGAGGGTGGAAGAAACAGTCAATAAGCATAGGATAGACAGCACCTAATTAAAGCTAGTGAATGTTCTCTGAATGATCAAAGGTCCCTGGGCTTTTGGCTCTTTCTGTTCCTGTGAGTTAGTCTCTGACAAGGTCCTTTCTTTACTGCTCCCAGGCTTAGAGGAGAGGGTTATACTGATTTTCAGACTTTTCCCCATCACAATCCCCTCCCCACCTTTCGACATGGGATCAAAGATCTTTCCTGTAGCTTTAAAAAAAGAGATCATCTGAATCTGCTCAACAATATCTTTATAGAACAAGAACATGCAGATCAGCCTTATTCACATGTGGTCCGAGTTCTGATATTCTGCCTTCAACCTTTCTAATTCTTTCTTAGGTAACACATGCTGGATAAGATTCATTTACACAGCAGCAAAGTGAGGCAAGACACTGATCTGTAAAACAGTAGTTGAAAGTTGATAGGATTACGTAAAAAAATGTGTTCCACGCTGAATTACAGAGAGTTTTTAGGATTTGGGTTGGGGACAGCTGCTCCATAGACTCTGGTGCACGCAGCCAGACGAAAATATTCTAACTTTCACAGTCAACTGGGCTTGTTCTAGTATTAATTGAACAGATTAGGCTTATATCAGAAAGGAAGATGCAGTATTTTCATTGTGAAAACACTCACCATTTATATCCTCTAGCATAAATGGAGGTAAGTCAGTGTAAAGAGCAAGTTTGCCCACAAAGGCAAATCAAGTCTATGAAACTGAAGTGGTGTAAATTTTTATGGGGCTGTATGGATAAGGGCAAATAAACCAGAACGAAGTCACTTTCATCTGGTATAAGGTCTCCAATACAAATAGTTTATACAGGCATAGCAACTGCAACATAATTAAAAACAATTTCTGGAATTGGGCCAGCTCTCCTAGGTTGTTTCCTTCTACGCGGAAATACGCTACCAGTATATACAGTTTTATATAGACACAGCTCTATTCATACTACAGCGAAGGGCGGCTGATACTTTAATTATGCCGGTACAGATAAAGTAGGAAAATGTCTGATAGAGAACTTAGTGTCTCACGTATAGTCCATTTACCTCTTGCAAGATAGCAACAATATTCCTAGCGCAGGCGAAGCTTTGGAGTACTAATTCTTAACTTAAAAAATAATCCCTCCTGCGTAATTCCCAGAACATCACCAACCTTTGAAATGTTAATGGAATTACTAGAGACAAATCAGACTTTGAATTTCTGCCAGATTCAGGAGTTCAGCTGACAAGTTTTCTGTGTGCCACTCAGGTGTCACCATTCTTTTCACAATCCTTTTTTTTTTTTTGTAAATGAACTGGGTTTTTTCAGCAACAATGCTGTGGTAATTTTGAATCTTTGTAAAAACACTGGTAAAAGCAAAGTGTGTGTTTTGGCTTGAAAAATACACATAAAAGCAATTACTTGTCCTCTGCCAGACTACAGCTTTGGAAATTACCTCTGACTTGCCAATGACAATAACAGGCAAGTAGTTATCCAGCAAAATCCCTTTAGTTCAGCTGTACAATATTACTTCCACCAACATCTATACTTTATTTGGTTGTTCGAAACAGCATCTGCGAATTCAGGCTGTGCTGTTAAAAACAAGTCATCTTTTTTGCTTCTAAAGGAACAAACTTCTCCAAGTATTCCTTAAATGAGAAAAAAGAAACAAAAAAAAAATGTTTTAACAAGTGTGTTCTCCTTGGGACACTATGAATGGTAACTCCCAGACAACTGAGCTGAGGCACCAGAATCACCTGATAGAACAAGAATGCATTTTCCTCCTTACTTATGACTTGTTTTACAATAGCTTCCAAACCAGACTTAGGATAAATGCATACATGCATTGTTTTTGTCTCCCTATCTCCATCTCCCCTGAAAATAAGATCCCTGCTCTTAGGAATCTTTAACTGAACCTGTAACTTCCCTATCAAAAGTGAACTGTATTGACCATAACCTAGCTAGCACATAGAATGTACTGGTAGGTAATTAGTTATTAAAAAAAAAGTAACTTTTTTTTTTATAGCTTAAACTTGGACTCATTTTACAGATGGATCTGTGTTGCAAACTGAGGTTACTTTAAAGTTCATGGTTTTTTGTTTGCTAGTTGCTCAATCTCAGTAAGAACAAAAAAAAAAAAAGGAAAATAAAAATCAACAATACAATACTTATAATAGTAGCATCTTGTCATAAATTAATAGGAAGGATGTACTTATATAGAAAATCTCGTTAAATAAACATGATATCTCTCTTTAGAAAAATTATCTCATTGCAAATAATTAACAGAGCACTTTAAAGACCTGCCAATAAATGTAGTCCATTACATACAGAAATTGGAATTTCTCAATGGTATGAAATTCTGTAACAAATTAATCTAAAATACTTGTTACATACAGAAAGTATTGTGAAGAATGCAATACTTTAAGTTATTACTTATAAATCAACTTCACTGCTCTTTTTGACCCATGAAGAGTTTTCTAACATTGGAATGGTATAGAATAGAACAGAAATTTAAAAATTCCCATCAGGGGAAAACTGAGGAAAATCGTTCTTTTCCCTGGAGATTCCAAACATTTTTTCCCCCCAGATCTCTCAGCCAAGATCCTTTTTCCAAATCTTCAGAGATCCTCTTTTTGTTGTTACTAAGGTGAGATTAATCTTGGATATGTATTCTGCTGAATAAAACATGCTTAGGAAATTCACTCCACATAGCACTTGCCTCTGGCCCTGTATTGTGCCCCAGGAGGTATAAGTATTTATTCATTACCCTTTATGTGTGAAGCAGATAAACAAGGTTGGAGGGTGGGAACATATACAACTGATGTCTCCAGGACTAAATGATACAGTAGGAAGTTAGTCCACAGCAAGTTGCAATGAAAGACAATGTCTCTAAAAATGGAGTAGAGAAAAAAAATAGTTGCAGAAACTGGTAAGACTCTAAAGTAAACACTCTCATATGGTGTTTGGAAGCAGAAGGCTCTGCCAAAACAGACATTGCTTAAAGAATAATCATCATCATCTTCACCAATGAGCTAGAGAGTAAATCAATTCCAGAAGTAGTCATGAAAACAATGGGTAGATATGAGCAAAAAGGTAAGTCTCCAACCAGAGTCTTTAACTTAACCAAAGCAGAGGGCACTTCACCCATCTGCAAGGTGAAATACTTAGTCCCTTAATTTAACACTGGCTTAAAATGAACCACTGTCCTTTTGAAGTATCTGGAGTCTCAAAGCCAGGTCTCTAAATGACTGCTGTATTCACAGTGCTGCAGAAACTGAAATTTAAGTCACTGACTATCCCTCTCTGATGTACAGATTTGGACTCTCCATTTGATAACAAAGACAGTATTTGTATCCTGTAAGATGGTATTCCATAACACACATAATAACTCATTCCATAGTATGATAATGAAGCTAATCTTCCACGCACTACACAGGCTTCATCACCTCTTCTTGGTGAGCATGTCAGGAATGAGATATCCTCTCTTGGAAGACCCTGGAACTCCCATAGCTGTATTGCAGACAAGGAAAAGGAGTTTCCTCCTTCACAAATGTAACCAACCAGCTCAATATGACAACACTAAAATAGTGGGATTGAAGAGGACAGTATTTAAACTGGATATTGATGACCAGGATAATAAATTTCTGGGCCTGCTCTCAAAAGAATGTCATGATGCTGGGAACCAAAACCAGCATAGCATGTTGGGTGCTGCCAACAGTCCTGTCTGTCATTGTTGTTAAGCCCTAAGGTAACCTATACCTCAGCTTGCACAGCCAATGAATCCTCTCTCAGACATTCTTGGAACACAAGTCTCAAGAACAAGTTAAGATACGTCTTTCTCAGGGGGCAGGAAGCTAGTTGTGTTCCAAGGAGGAATGGAATGGAACTAAGATATTCCATAAAACTAATCCATCAATGTGTTAGCCACAAAGAGAGGTCTGAGCTTATATATTGCACAGATACTTCTATTTCAAAGTGCTAATCGTGTATACTTACCTACAGTGATAGGAACTGTCTCTTAAAATATGTCACTTCTCTAAGATTGAATGTGCTGTCTGCTATGTGAGTTTTTTTTAATTATAAAAAACGTTTCAGTAACTGTTGCTCAGATTTTCTATAACTTTACAAATTCAAGAGGTGCAGAAATTTGCCCCCAATCCTTTAGTATATCCCACAGCAAGAATGACAAGGATTACTGATTTCTATAGGGTGGGGGAAAAAAACAACCTGTATTTTTCATCACCATGAACATGCAACTTATTACAAGCATGTGATACTTCCTCCACTTAAATAGAAAGCTACTATAAAACCACTTGTATTTTAATAGTTTTGTTTAACCAATTGCTTGGCAGGAACAGTTGCTTACTTTCTTAAACCAGATGATCTACTTCAGATGCACCTGTTTCTCTCACATTCTATATTGCCTATAGAACTGAACATAGGAAATCCAAAATCTATCTCATTGATGTTAGTGGCTCATTGAAGTTAAATGTCTAAAAAGGTAATACATGTATTTCTTTGATTTGTTGTAATCTTTTATCTTAAAATACTCTCCATTTTTATTCTTGACCTTGATCTCAAAATTCTGGTCTTTTATAGTATCTTTCTGATTTTGAAGAAGGCAAGGAAGTAAGTCTATAGTTGAAACTGGGTAAGTCTTAAAAACAAATCCCCAGATCTTTAATGTTTTCCCTTTGAAACACGATCACATAGAAGAAGAACTTTTTGGTTTTAACTAGGAAAATTTATTGCTCTTTCTCTAACAGTTACAGAACAGTTTTCCACTTTTTCCTCCTCCCCCAAAAACAGAGTGAAGGAGGACCCTGGATGATTAACTAGGACAAGTTACTGGAGACAGTCATAACAGTTCCTGTTGCCATTGTTCCTCTCCATGTTTCCTGTCTCTGTTACTGAGGTAGCAGTACCTGCTACACCACTGTACTTTGCAAGTTCCGGGTGACTTTAAAGCTCTAGGTTACAAACTACACTGAGCTGTCACAACACAAACCACTGAGCTACCCCGTCCCTGTACCTAGAGAAAGTAGGGACCAGCTGGAGCAGGAAACAAACCAAGTTAATCCCATGATCTGAACAGAACCCCTAACACTTACTCTCCAATATAAAAGCTGCTACTTCTAAATTATGCACACATTACCAAAAGTCTGGGAACTCTGTCTTTACAAAATGGAAACTGTAGTAGTTAAACTAGCTACACACTCATAGCTACATGTTGGAAACAAAATAAAAATGTGGTTGGAATTAGCACTAGACATTCATGTTCTGTGTCAGTATAGAAGTACTCTTTGGGAACAGTACTGCTGAAATGTTAGATAACTATATAATGCTCAAACTGCAACTAACAAATCCTCTCACAAATAGAGGCATATCTATTTTAAATTAAATGTTAAATGGAAATTATTTATAATTTAAGTTGCACCCTTTGCTACTTAATTATCATAACTTTGAAAAGAAGAAACCTTTAATTTCCTCCTCCAAAGAAGTTATTTACCTGAACTGGAGCTCGGTAGTCCCCAGTAGTCTCTTCTTAGATTCTCATCCCACTGAATGTCAAAGACTTAGCATTTCAAGGATGGGATTTCAACATCAGTTATTGACAACTTAACTTGGTCTCATTAAAGATAAACCAACCTTTATTCCCACTCAGGTCAGCTCATTGATTTCACAGAAAACATATCTAGAAAGCAGAGCTGAATACTTTCAGAAATTCCACCCATCAGATAAAAAAGGAAAAAAAAACAACCAACAAACAGAAATTGACATAAAATATTTAAGACTTGTTGATGCATGATAAATCAATATTTTTGTGTATTTGTGTGCATTACAAGTAACTGAAACTACTGTTAACAGCTTGCTGAAATAATATAATTTCAAATACTTTACCTTCTTACTCTTCAGGTACAGGAATCCTGAACTATGAAGAAAACCCAGTTTTGTCCATGTACCAGAGGTGAAACAATAACAGTTCTGCTGAAAGAGTTAAAAAAAAATACCCTTGCTGCTCTCAAATTTGTCTAAAATTAAATTCTGATCCAATGTTACAATGCCCAGATTTAAGGATCTATTTTAGGAAAAAAAAAATTACTGGCAAAAAATTCAAAAGCTGATTTTTTTAAATAGAAAAATTTCCAAGTTGTGAAAACCTGTCTGTGACTTCCTTTTTACTTCCTTTCAATGATTTGAGACCTAATAACTAACATTTAGATCCAACAACTCCTGGCTTAGCAAAATACTGAATTCATATAATAAACACATAAGAAAATTATGAAAAAGCTTTCAGCAAAAGGGAATTGTGTCATTAAGATCATCATATTCTCCAACAACAGCTACTCCAGAGATAATAAGTGGTGCTAAAATTATTTTCCAGACAAAAATTTCCCTCCATGCATCTCGTAAGTATGTGTGCTACTGCATATGCCTTTCCATTTCAAGATACTTCACGTGTCAAATGACCAACACAAAGGGTCTGACAGGACACTGCACATATGCCAATTAGAATGAAATGCCAGCATACCAAACCCAAATAAGGATAATTTAAGAAAACTTACCTGAACTTGAGGAAGCACCTCTTAGCTGCATCGGTGCTAATTCCCAAATGAAGACTCTTCCTTGCAAATAAGTGAGCTTTCTTCAGATCATTATTCTGTGGCACAGGCTCCTCCAAATGGCAGAATGAATGTATTGCCATTATTGAAAATTTACAGATAATCTGAAGAAATTGAACTGAAAGCAAGAAATACAGCAGCTTTATTTTCTGTAAACTTACTGAAAATAATTTAGTTAGTTTTCAAGAACTTGTTGCTTATCAATAGCATTTAAAACCACATGAAGGATATGTATATGGAGTGATTGATGAAATATAAAGGAATTAAGGAAATCAGATGGACCATTCATTTAAGCAGAAATACTCAGATAAAGAACTTCCATTTAATGCTACTGCAGAGCACCATTTCAATAAATTTTAGGGCTGTCTCTATATACATTATATACTTCTTCTCTACAAAGAAGTTTTCATAAGGGTATCTATAATGATACATGTATTTTTGCAGAATGTTTACTTGTAATATAGAATTATATTACAAGTAGTTCAAGTTATTCCTTCCAGTTTTAATTATTTTATAACTACAAATACTGAATGACGTCTACCAGTGTTATGCTTATATAGCCAGCTTTAGAAGGCTGCCCTCAAGTTCCTCACAACTTTCTCCCGTTTTACAGAATGTATGCAGCATTTTACTTTGGATGCTTATTTGAGGACAAGATGAATCACATCTAAGACAGATTTTAGAGGCATAATTGGATGAGCATCTATTCTGGTAAAACGCCAGTTCAAACAGAGATGACCCTCATGGTGCTTGTTCTCGTCCTTGTGCCATGACCACATTTGTGTGGATGCATCTGCTGGTGGAGCCACCCGCTACACCGTATTGAGGAACTGACTTGGGTTAAAAATTGCTGCTTGCCATAGGCTCCTCAGGATCAATATTCTGACTCAAGTCACTGCATGACAGCACAAATGGCTGTGCTAATACAATTGGAGGGAAAGGGAGCAAACAACACCACATTAGCTAATTGCAGCTACAAATGCCAGTGCTTGTAGGGCCACACCAAAACTGCTTGGGTTAGTTTCCTGCCAGAGGCCATACACTGCCAGTTTAAGGTGGGATGAACTACATACGGTGTGCGAGTATATGGATACATGGTTGCATCTATGTCTTTTCCACTAACAACAGAAGCAATTTAGATCATTGTTTAGATTGCTAATCACAGAAGAGATTTCTGCTGTTTAACATGTCTGCTTAAGTTAGGTCGGACCTTTTCTAACTTTTGAATCCACCATCTGATTTCAAAGTTTGTCAAAGACAAAAGTTGAAAAGTCATTTACATTTTAATAAGAATTCAGAATTCCAAGTACTGGGCAGGTGGACAGAGAAGACTAACACAGAAACCGACCAAACTGAAGTACAGACTGGAGCATGTGCCCATGCTCTTAGGGAACAAGTACCTACATAAGAGACACACCTTACAACTATCCCAGCCGCAGCTGGTATTTTTCATTCCCTCTAAGATACAACTACATGGGAAGCTAGTGGCTGTTGGATCTTGTGCTCACAGAACTACTTGATTATCCATGCAGAATTCAAACCTACTTAAGTGGCATTAAAATAAGAGTCCTTGGTCTGCAAATTCCAGCTCTGCTCCTTGTGCTCAGTTCAAAAGTACATTATGTGCAACACTTGATAGCTTCTGGCACAGCATCTCATCCTAACGAGATGCATTCTTCTTAGCAGATCAGCCACTTCATCCTTTAGAAGGACTAAATGAATGAACAGCATCAAGTCCTTATGACTTAGGAGTCTTCAGCACTTTATTCTAGCATTTAGGCTTTTGATTCTCTAATCCCATAATCACATAACTTACCATCAATATTATTTGAAAAGAATAAAATGTATATGACATCTCTGTGGTGAAGAGTAGCATAAAGAAATAACTCCACTTCTTCCTAGCACCTCTTATTCCTTTTAATTGTTTTCTATACTCCCTGAGAGTCCAAGAGACACATGAAGTCCTTCAAACAATACTTGCAATGTTACCATCTTCCTTGTATTTTTAAATAAAAGCATACAACCAAATGTTTCCCTGAAATACACTGCTACCAATAAGACATGACAACTATATCCTGTTACTGACATTAATTTACATATTTGGAAGCGTTAAAATGTTACATAAAAACATTTCTGATCACATGCATGTGAATGTGATTGGCCCTTTACTCACCTATCCAAGCAGTAATTTTGAGATTTCCTCTCTTATCACCAATTTCTCACTTAAGAGTAAATAATTAACGACACTAAATGAGAACAGTTAAAGAGGTATCAATGGAAACAAATTTTATCCAAAACCAGGAAGGAAATTCGTATGAATTCCCTGCACATGAGAAGGATCATACTATTGTTAATCAAAATACCAGTTCTTAAATAAAAATAGTGTCCATCTTAATATTCAATTAACATTTGTTGTTTATTAAACTCAACCAGTTGTATCTCAACATCTATGTATATTCAGAATCTACATAGTATACTCTAACAGTGGTGGGGTTTGTTGGGTATTTTTTGGGGTGGTGGTGGGTTAGGATTTTTTTTTTTTTTTAAATATAAGAATGCCCTTTCACACTCAGAGTCCTTAGTTTGGAAAGTCTGGAAAGGCCTCAAGCCTTTCTTAGGCTGCTAACCTGCAGTGATAGCTTTGTTACTGTAGTGTTGACACTAGTGGTACCTGAATTAGGCAAAATAAGCTTAAGCCCATTCAAACAGTTCAACTGCACATAAAGCATCATTTTCAGGCACTCTACTCTGGACTAGTTCCAGTACTGGAACCAAGTCAACTGTATGCTAGGAAGGAATAGCTGTACAAGGAACTCAAACTGACTTAAAACTGCATACAAGGAATTTGAAGCAATACACAAGAAGGCATGGGTGTATTTCTCTTACTGTTTTAAATCTTAAACTTGGGTGAAATTTGCAACTCCATGTTAGAACATTATGCAATAGGTAAAATAATGGCAATGATTTGCTAGAGGTTAGCTTATTCCGTTAATATTTTTTTTACAAATAAAATCCCTATTTGCATAATACAAGTGTGATAATCAAAAAATCATTCCCGTTGGAACAGACCCCAGAGGTCATCTAGTTCAACCTCCTGCTTAAAGCAGCATTAATATGTGAATACTCATTAATGATATAAGTTGTACTCCTAACCTTGCAGACCACTAATCCCATGTAATCCTTAATCAAATGCACTCGACTGCCTTTGATACCATTACTTATCTGCAGAAGGGTTTGTGGGACCAGTTACTTGTCATACATTATTCCTAAGCATGGAACATTATAGTACTTCCTAGCTACACCCGTAACACCAGCACCATGCCTCCATTTCATTTTAAATGTCTTTTAAGCAGGTACTGTTGTGAGAGTAATTTTCAAAGGGGGCCTTGCCAGTACAGGGGTAGATTTTGATAGATGAGAAAAGGAAGTAAGTGGTAAAACGCCACTAAGTGAGGCAGAAGCACAGAGCCAGGTCCTGGTTTCAGGTGTGTTTCACAGGTTGATGAATGCAGAATAGAGGTCCTGCTCTGAGAGATACCTATAAAACCAGAGAAATCAACATCACTGGCAGCAACACTCCTGTAGTTATCAACATCAGTGACCAAACTTCAGCAGACTAAGTTTGGGAACCTCTACTTCAGTCCTGCCGTCTTGTTTTGTTCCTCCAATTTTGCTCTGATAAGGACCTCCATTTTTCATTTCTGTTTAAGTTTACACCTTTGTTTCATGCATGAAGAAGTGATTTAATATGGTACAGCATTACTAACTAAAAAAAAAAGAAAAAACCCACAAAAATCCACAGGTAAAAAAAAACAAAATTGAGAAGTTTTATAAAACCATGATTAGCCAATCATACAAGCTGAATTACAAAATAAATTTGCCTTATATTAGCTCAGTATTGTCCTCCGTGCTGAAGCAAGAAATACAGTAACATTTTATCTATGCTGTATGGCAATATATGAACTCTGCCACATAAATTAAACAGAGAAAACCCCTTATTTTCTAAAAAATTATTTTTCTTAAATATTTATTACCTGCTATTGTAAGTAACTGCAAACATTAATACTTTGCACACTTTATTGTAAACCATATAAATACTATTTAAGTGGTAACAACAACAAGCAGTAAACAGCACAAGGTTATATAAAAAAAAAGAAATTTACTTTAGCAGCTTTGATAAGCCTGGTCTTAGGCCTACCAGAAAGGCATTTTAAAACACCAGGCTCTGGAATTTTTTAAATACACTGAAAACCTTTTCAATTCTACAGTTCCAGACATTATTTACGTGCCTTCTCCAAGCATTCATTAACAGTCACTGCTGTATGCTAGGTTGCATAGGGCCTCTCCCTATTTGACCTGATACACCAGCTCTTAAAGTACATGGTACTTCAACAATTTTCTCT